TCTCATTCGTTTCCCTTCTACTTCTTTGATTTGAGTCCAAAAACAAGTTTTGTTGCCGTTGCCGGTGTAGGTAGATTATATTTTCCTGCCAGACATGTGAAACCATATTTTTATTGAAAATTCTCGAAAAAGGTCACTGTGTTTCTTTATCTAATCGGCCACATGTCTAACTTCATCTGGAAAGTATGTACGTTTGCAAAAAAAAAAGAAGAAATGAAATAAATAATGGTTGGTTTCTTTTGGTGTTTTTGGACTTTGGTTTTGTGTTTTTTTATGTTTGCTGTGTCTTCTTTGCCTTAGTTTCCTGTTTTATTCTGGTGTCTGTCTGAATTTCCCTTCTTGTTCTACTGCATCTCCACCTGCATTTTCCCGAGTTCTCTCCTGCACTATTCTGTGTTATCAACTCAGCTCCGTTCATCAATAATCACACTCCCCTCTATAAAAACTTCAGTCTTCAGATCCTCACAATGTATCACTGCCTCTGGATCTGTTTCCCCTCTCTCCCGGTGTGTTTCCATTTCTCTGTATCAGGTCCGTTGTATTTTCCTATTCGGCTTTGGCTGTGCCTTTTGTTATCTTTTGAAAATAAATTCAGTTTCGAGAGTACCTTGCTCCCCCTTTCTGTTTCCTCCCTGGCCCCTTGCATTTCGGGCTCCATCTCCCCTCACCACATGCCTTTTGTGACATTCATTTCTGCTTGCAAAATTTGTGAGCAAAAATCCAAATTAATCCGATTAATTATCCCTGGGAATCCCTGAACACCATTTTAAAAGCAGATACCGTAAACAGTACGAAAACAGGGGGACTAATAGCTCATTATAACAGAGTCTCAGCTGAACCAGTCAATAAGTGCATTATTAACTATTTGCTACTGAAGGTTCGTAGCTTCTGAGGGCCATAAAATCCGCACTAAATTAAACAACACAGCTTTGTTTAATTTCCCTCTACATACGCTATTGCGAACCTGCAATTAAACACTCGTATTTACGAAGAACTTTTCTTGAAAAGTTCAAGAAAGTGTTGCCGGCCGATGCGTCTCTGTGGAGGATTTTTTTGTAGCATTCATGGACCAAAGCCGGCCTCTATATAAAACTAATAACAATGTCCTTTCATTCCCCCCCCCCCCCTTCCCAGTCCCTCTTCTCCATCTTTTTTACTTCTTTAGTCTCAAGTGTCAGAAACCCCATTACAGTAATTAAGTCAGCGGACCCTCAAAGAGCTCTCCTTGAAACAGCCAGGGAGTGAGGGAAGCATGGAGGGGGAGAGATATGATTGAAAGGAAGGAGATGGATGGAAAGAGCTCCACGGCTCCAAAGAGGATGAAGAGAGAGCGAGATGAAGGAGTTGATGAGAGCTTGTAGGAGGAGGGATCGGAACAAACATCCTTTGCAACACAGGGAAGTAAACTGTGAGGAAAGTTCCGGCTTTAAGGTGTCCGTGTGGCCTCTCCGCTTTAGTAAATCCGCAACGCATTAGCTGTGAGACGTCGCTGTAATTAGTATACACAAATGGGACCATTTTCCACATGATTGGCGGCCTCCACCGGCTTCCACACTTACATTAAACACCTCTGATTGCTCAGTGACTTCACGGTTAAAAAAAAAAACAAGCCTGCGCTGTCTTTCGTTTTTCTGCCCTTAACTCCGAGATGAGATGATGAAGCAGCACATCGAGTTAGAACTTTTTAGAAAAATCAGAAAAAGATTTCAAGACCCAAGAAGAAGTCGAGTTGTTTTAATCTCACGACAACATAATAAAAAGAAAACGTCTGGAATAGATGGAATTTTGTTGCATTATGGCTAAGCAACGCTTTGAACAGAAAAATATGATGACCTAAACACAAGTGAAATTCTTTTGTGTCTCAGTAAAAAACACTTCTGCAAAGATCCTGCTTGCAGGCTGGTTTGGGATAAATCAAACAGGGAGCGGACAGCCGTCATAAACCACAGTTTTTACTAATTGGAGTAGGTGGAGCCTCCAGGGAGAAGGACTCCAAACGTTTCAGACTCATAATTACATCATTGTCGGGCCGGGGAAATCCAAATCAGGCTATCAAGCAAACAGCTTTATGTTCAATAAAATTATGATGAATTAGAAGTGAAAATAATAATTAGGAATCCATGAGTCTGTAACTAAATCACATTTGCCATCATTTGGCTCAGATGCTGAGTTAAAAAACACAAATCGGTCTTCAGGTCAAATCAGCAGGAGGAAATTTTGGGCTGTGTAGTTATTTATCTTACAACAAAACCTGTCAAGTTCCTGTGAAAAGCTGATCGAATGTCAAGCAGCGTTCCTGTTGTTGGGAAATAGTTTAACCCTGTGGTGCGCTGAGAGTCATTAGCAAATGCTATTACCACGTCCAGCTTAGTCAGAGTGTGGTCACAAAATGTTCTGGGAAAGAACCCGGTGAGGTCAGTTCAATATGATACCAGAACTCTGTTTGTCTGTCACAGAGGGGCTTTGGAGACCTGGCAACAAAAACCAGCCTCACGCTGAGGCTGCCACAGGGATTTGGGGATGATCTGAATTTATAGGACTTAGCTGCTGATGAATACCTCACCAAAATAAGACAATAATGATAATAAAAAATCCCAATAGTTGCTGAGATAGTAGTTTCAGTATTGCTATTCGAACAGAACAGTATTGGTTTTCGAACAGAAACCACTCATTAGATGTCAATTAAGCTGTTAAGATGACTAAAAGCATTCTTCTAGTCCTAGTCATTGGCACACATGCCAAACTTGAAAAGAACTCTAAATTTTGAAAGGCAAAGGAATTACAAAAGCACCTTTTATATTAACCTTTACTAATGAATTCTTTTCAGTTTTGGTTTCTCAGACTTAGAACAATGAATAGGTCTAAGCAAGAAAAATGCCATGGAGAACACATAAATCAAATAATTTGGAGATAACTAAGAAATTAATTAATTTGAAAAAGTCTGCTAATAGAAATGTGAGATGTAGGAGACTTAACAGGAGATTCCTTTCACCTTAACACTTACACTGAAGGCACCAAACCTAGAGGATAATAGGAAAAAAGGAGGACTGGAACTGAAAAAAGTGGCTTCACAGTGATTGAGAAAGACGCCGATCAGATTAGCAACCGGCAGAGAAAAAAAGCGCGTGAACTTTTTGCCTGAGATGAGAAAAAAGGACAGGTGTCAGGACCCCGGAATAAAAAGGCTAGCTGCAGAAGAGTTATGGACACGGAGGCGGTGGAAGGGATAGAGAGGGCTGAGGCCTCGAGTGGGGAGTGCTCGGTGCTGTCCTCATTGATATTCTGAGCCTGTTGTTTGATAAAAAAAAATAAAAAAAAGAAGAACCCCTACACTTTCCTTTTCTTCATCGGGTGATGTCATCCCTATATGGATCCTTTGGTCAGTTGCCATCGTCGCTCACATCTTTGTCACTGTCCCAGTCACAGACACACACACACACATCCAATTAGCCTCCCGGCGACCCACATCTTAATGCACATTTGCTGCAAAGGACACAAATATGTCTGCGTTATTACATGGGCGGAGTCTGCGGAGAATGGGCCGAAGAATGGTGGTCATCCAGCTTGTACGGAGTCGGTGGTCCGGATCTACCCAAGCGAGGAGAGCTTTACGGCTTGTTTAGGGCCGACTAACCATACCTCTGCTTTGGATGTGATCCTTTTTAATATAGAAGAGTGCTTCCAGTGGCGACTGCCCATGTGGTGGAGGGTGGGGCCATAAATCATCTCAAATGATTATGAATTCATGGTTGAGAGTAGAAAGCTGGAGCGCTCTGCGTGAGTGCATGGCTTCTTTATTTTGACTTAAAAACCAGGTTCTTGTAACCACCCAGGTTTTGTTTTTTCAATTTGAATGCTAAGCTCACCTCTAGTTGTTAAAAGCCATGAAGCACAGTTGGTTGGAGCTAAAAGGTGAGCATGCAGGTCTAATATTCCGTTGCCAAAAGTGTTAAGCGAATTTGGACGCTCGTGGGTGGAGTTTAACAAGTGCCCGTGAGGAAAAAAGCTGCCACAGCAATTTCCCCATCGACTGTCAATTGATTAAAGAGGACGTATGAAAGTCAGCCTCTCTCTCTCTTTTTTCTCGCTGCCGCCCGTGTCTGACCCGCCCTGCTACCCCCGCAGCCCCCCCCCACCCCCCCCACGTCTGTCCGGAATTACAATACGAGGCAATTAAAGCCAACCTGCCAAGTGACTCGCTGTTCCGGGCTCGTAATTTTTTAGCTTGTCGTAATTAAAAGTGTTACGGTGGAAGCGGCAAGGGGGGAGGGAGGGGGGGAGGGAGGGGGGGGTGATGATGAGCCGTGTGATTGACAGATTGAAGGCGGACCTGGCCCGGGGTGAAGGGGGCCGTGTGTCATAAAGCGGGCCGAGGGCAAAGGTCAGAAGGATTGGAAAGCTGTGACAAAGACTGGGGGCGAGAATAAAAAACGACACAGAGGATTGGTTAAAAAAATAAATAAAACAAACGTGTGTGTGTTTATGAAGAGCAGAGGGAGGTGGGGGTCTTCTAATGTCCACTGAATCCATAGGGAATCGCTAACAAGATAAACAGGGGAGACATGTTGGTGTCTGTTGAACTCTCTTGCACAATCGATAAGTTATCCTACACCCAGGAAACAGGAGCGTGCATGTTTGTGCGCACGAGTCCGTGGCAGCTTGTTTGGGTAAGTTACACATCGACTCGTACTTCATAAGAATGGGCCAAAACCAATTGCACAAGTTCTGATTTGGAGACAAATTGAGCTGACCGATCACAATTCCTGACTTCTGTACTTGGCTATTGTCCTCCACAAGTGAGGTGCTCCACATAACCCCACTTAAAAAGAAAATAATAGATGTTTTTTTATTTATTGGTGTGCACATGGGAGTTTTGGGATGGAATTGGATCTTTTGTACTGTGCAGGTTCATTTTATTTCTTTATCTTACTTGGTTTATTTTTTCAAGCTGGTTTAAACATTTTTTTAAATCTAAAAACCAGTTTGCGCACACTCTCACCATGGCCTTTGACAGAAACTCCTCCAGGTCACACGTAATGGGTCCTTCATCTCGGACCCATTACTTTATTCTCTACTCCAGAGAGGCTCTCTATGTGTGAGGTATGCCTCTGCTTGCCTGTGGAAATCCTTGGTAAATTCTTGGGCTTCATTGTTCTCAGTGTCTTAATAAAGAGATGAGAGGTCTGGTAAAATACTTTTAGTTTTCCTCTTGAAGGCCCCTCAATGAATACCTGCCCTGCCAGGATCTGAGCTTCAAAAACGACAAGGGCTGTGAGAATTCTGTAACCCTTTAAAGGGCACTCGCTGAAAGAGTTGGAAACAGAAAACTTCAACACTTGAGCGTGATTGGTTTGGTTTTAGATTTTAGGTTCAGGGTCCGAGTAAAGATGAAAGTAGTGCATCTAAAAAAAGGACGGATGAAAATGTACTCAAATTAAAACTTATAACTTAAATTGTGATTCATTTATTAAATAAAAAACAGAAGCAGTCTGACCTTTGCAGACTGATTTAAATCATATTAATGACTTTAATAAGAATGAAACATATGCAAAATTGCTGACCTGGCAACTGTCTAGGGTTCTTGACCAAAGGGAAACCTGGACAGTGCTTGGTTGTGCAGAGATGTTAGCATTTTCCCCTCACAGCACCAGTTTGTAATCCTAGTCTGGGATGTATCTGTGTGGTTCTCCTCCATCTACTCCGACTATATGAGTGCACATTGTGTTTTTTTTGTTGTCTCTGTGTGGCTCTGTCATGAATCTGTCCATCTGCAGCCCACACACCAACAGACCACACCATTCCAACTAACTTCAGCTAATTACCAGTAGCACTCAAAAGGATGAGGGCTCCAGCTGCTCCCAGCCAGACCTTCATTTCCCCCTTTATGTGGCGACTCTTCAGCCTACCAGAAATACTGTTTTATTTCCTACCACACACACAACATGCCTTACTGGTTGCTCCCTACCTGTCACGTTTCGGGGAATGT